TAATATCCTCCCTGGTTTTCACTACCCTGAACAATTTCATGTCATCCGCAAATTTAGCCACTTCACTGCTTACTCCCAACTCCAAATAATTGATGAACAAGTTAAAGGGCATCGGACCCAGTACTGAGCCCTATGCTACCCCACTGCTAACCACCCTCCACTGTGAAAATTGCCCATTTATACTCGCTCTCTGTTTCCTATTAATTAGCCAGTTTTTGATCCACAAGAGGACATGTCCTTTTATCCAATGACTATTGAGCTTAGAAGCCATTGATGAGGAACTTTATGAAAAGCTTTCTGGAAGTCAAGGTAAACAACATCTATTGGGTGTCCCTTGTCCACATGTTTGTTTACTCCCTCGAAGAGCACTAACAGGTTAGTGAGACAAGATCTTCCCTTACAGAACCTATGCTGAGTCTGCCTCAATAGCTTTTGTTCATCAGTGTGCTTACTAATTCTTTCCTTAATAACAGTTTCCACCAACTTACCTTGTATGGATATCAGACTGACTGGCCTGTTATTTCCCAGATCTCCTCTGGAACCTTTTTAAAAGATGGGGGTGACATTAGCTACCTTCCAGTCCTCAGGAATAGAGGCAGATTTTAATGAAAGATTACAAATTTTTGTCAGGAGATCCACAAGTTCACATTTGAGTTCTTTCAGAACTCTTGGATGTATGCCATCTGGGCCTAGTGATTTATCAGTTTTTAAGTTGTCTATCAGTCGTAGGACCTCCTTTCTCATCACCTCAATCTGACTCAGGTGTTTCAACACCCCTCCCGAAATCAGCGGTTCTGGAGTGGGCAAGCACTTCTCATCTTCCACAGTAAAGACAGAGGCAAAAAATGCATTCAGCTTCTCAACCATTATATATCAAAAATGTGTATACTTGTGACGGAATACATGAATCAGTATGGAAGGAGAGTCTCTGAGTAAAAATAGAACGGGTAAGAAATAATAGTGATATTATGATGGGGGATTGCTATTGACCAGCAAACCAGGCAGAGGACCTGGATGAGACACTCCTAGACCAGATTACAAAGTTCTCAAAGAGACAGGACATGGTGGTCATGGGAGATTTCACTTACCCAGATACCTGTTGGAAGTCAAACTATGCTAAAAATGAAAGGCCTAATAACATGACAACTTCGTTTTCCAGAAGGTGGAGAAGGAAACAAGGTGGTCTGCTGTCTTGGAGTTGTGTGAGCTTAGGCTACTGAGAGATGTTAAACACAACAAAAAAAGGGTTCTTTGGTTATGTTCAGTGCAAGAATAAGAACAAGGAAGTGGTAGGACCATTGCAGGGAGAGGAAAGTGAAATTGCTAATAGGAGATGAAACGAGGGCAGAACTGCTGAATTCCTACTTTGCCTCAGTCTTCACTTGCAAGGAAAAAGGTTCTCAACCTGACAAAAAGAGAACACATTATGAGGGTAGGGAGTTACAAACTTAGGATAGGGTTAGGGGTGGTACTTAAACACCTAGTTTCTTGTCCTCTGGGCCAGATAAATTGCATCCAAGGGTACTAAAGGAACTTGCTGATGTAATTTTTGATCCTCTGTCCATTATTTTTGAGAATTCTTGGCAAACAGGTAATCTGCAAGAAGGGGATAAAGGAGATCTATGTCAGACTAACCTTGTCTCCTTTTTTGAGAGAGTTTCTGTCTTGTTGGATCAGGGGAATACAGTAAGGCTTTTCATAAGGTTCCACATGATATTCTTGTTGACAAGTTGGTAAAATGTGGTTTGGATCCAATTACCATTAGTTGGCTTTGTAACTAGTTGACAGATTGTACCCGAAGAGTGCTTGTGAATGGTTCCTCATCCTCTTGGAGAGGAGTGACAAGTGGAGTGCCTCAGAGATCTGTCCTAGGGGATGCTCAATAAATTTGAAGATGATACTAAATTGGGTGGGAGGGGTAGCAAATATAGTAAAAGACAGAGTCAAGATACAGAATGATCTTGACAGGCTGGAAAACTGGGCTAAAACCAACAAAATGAATTTCAACAGAAAAATGTAAAGTTCTACCTTTACGTAGGAGAAATCAGAAGTATAATTATAGGATGGGTGAAACCTGGGGTCCTAGTAGACCATACATTGAACATGGGCCAGCAGTGTGATGTGGTAGCTAAAAAGGCAAATGAAATTTTGGACTGCATCAACAGAAGTATGTGTTCAGATCACATGAAGTGGTGGTATCACTTTTCTCTAGTTGGAACTCACTTGGAGTATTGTGTTCAGTTTGGGGCACCACAGTCTAAGAAGGATGTTGACAAGCTGGATTGTGTCCAGAGGAGGGTAACAAAGATGGTGAGGGGTCTGGAGACCAAATCCTATGAGGAAAGGTTGAAGGAGCTGGGTATGTTTAGCCTGGAGAAGAGATAGGTGATATGGGTCTTTTGCTCTGTAAGGCTGCTGATTGGCCACTGGAAATTTGATTGGCTGTGCAGATTTTTAATACCTTTGCTTTGACAGCAGCTGCCGCGATAGCACAAGGATCTTCACTGTGTGACTGAAGGTAAGCTGCACTCAACAATAACAAAACTACACCATGTAAAATCTGGCTATATATATTGTAAACAATGGGGAATTTCAGACAGGTGCTATGTCCCGGTAGGGAACCGATTCTCAACCGGGTTGTGGTCTGTCATTTCAGACAGAACCCGGTTAGGAATCGGTTCCCTACCGGGATCTAAGTGGCATTTCAGACACAGAAGCCTCTCTTCCGTATAGGAACCGGGAGGGAAGCGATTTACCTGTCAACCGCTTCTGAGGAGTCTCCCGTTCCCTCTCCCGGTTCCGATACGCTTGTTTCCCGCCTTTTTCCGGTCGCGCGGGCTTTTTTTTTTTTTTTAACGTTCGGCTTATAGCGATATATCGATATATCGCTATACTGGAACCTCTAAGGAGTAGCATTCCAATGGGATCGTTATTGCGACCATTTGAGGTTCTGGTATAGCGATATATCGATATATCGCTATAAGCCGAACCTTTTTTTAAAAAAACCCCGATCGCCCGCGCGGGAAGAAAACGGCGGGAAAACGAAGCGGTGCGTGTGTGAAACGCCGAACCGCTTGTGAATCGGCTCCTTTCCGGTAGGGGCAAGCCGTGTGTGAAACGGCAGCCCTGTACCGGTTCATCTGGAAACGGAAGACTCCCGGTTTGAAACCGGGAGAAAACTGGTAATGTGAAATTCCCCAATGTCACAGAATTAAGTGTAACATACAAAACTATTGAGTATCAGTAATATCAAACAACATGTAGCAAGAAATATATAGTGTACTTAACTCTTTAAATATCACAAATATCATAAACATTCAGTAGTAGGTACAAAGTATAATTAGTTCCAACATTCCATGTTTTCCCATCATATGAATAAATCATACAGTCATTTTCAAGTACCAACTCTGAACAGGTAAGTCCATATATATGCTTCTCTCCACCTCACTGGTTAAAGGAAACTTCCCATTCTGATTCTATGGATAGCCGGTTTTCTCCCCGTTTTAACAAACTCTTTATCAAGAATCGCTCCTGTCTTGGGTGGCAACCTGCCAGTTATGCCAAATGCTTTGTTTAAACTGCCTCTAGTCCTACTGCTGCTTAAAAGCGGGCAATAATTCTAATCAACAGTTCTACTAAGCGGCTGGAGCAGAGCAGGAGATCAAGAAGGCTGTATCACAACTGGAAAGATAAGAAGCCATAAATTACAATTTGGAGATGTGTGTTCTGCTCCAAAAAAATAATTAAACTTAATTCTATGACATTGTTTACAATATATATAGCCAATTTTACACCGTGTGGTTTTGTTATTGTTGAGTGTTACCACTGTGTTCCTTGTGAGTATGAAGGTAAGCTGCAGCACCTATTTTATGGCTGGTTCTGCCTCTTGAAACAGCCATTCTGTGGCAGCAATTTTGTGGCAGCAGCACCTACCATACTGTGTCAGAATTCCAAAAATGCCCACAGGCTCAAAACGTTTGTGAACCCCTGGTATATGATATGCATTACCTGCGTAGCTTTCTAATTTCTCTAATCCACAGTTTGCAATTTTTATTTATCATGTCTTATACCGCCTTTATTATATTGTTTTCTAACTTTGTGATCCAGTCTTGTGGCATTGTTTACTGTATGTCTTACAGCTCCTATGGCATTGTTTTTAAAATCTTGTAATCATTCTTGAGTCTCAGCAAGAAAGGTAGACTATAAATAAAATAAACAAATGCACAGCTGACTGATCCTTGAGCACTCCTATGCAAGGTGCAGACGTGGTTAAGCACAGCATTGAGTAATGATCTGAAGCTGTGTTGTTTCGGTCTGTTGAGTGTCCATCAAAAGGAGATAAAGACCTATCCCATGGAGAGACTTATGAATTGAGTACTTTAGCTGGAGTCTCTTAAGATGCCAGTTGCTGCTCAAAGGACAATTCACTATGTTTCCTTTTACTGTATTGTTATTGGATAAATCAAAGCTCTTTGTTCTGGCACATACAATATGATGCACTACATAAAATAACAGGCATAGCCCAGACTCCTGTAGCCTGTTGATAATCATAATCTATGTTTCTGTTGTTGTAGCACCTTATAATGGTTTGGAGGACTGCAGAAAAGTTGAACATCACCCTGTAGATAGCAGTCACACACCTCCTGTCCACCAAGAATTTATTCCACACTAATTTTCCTCATAACTAAAAACTGGAATAAATGGTGCAAAGCTGGCATCTTTTATGTGCATATGTATATTTTGTGCCATTCCACAATTAAGCTTTTCTTGCTGCACAGTCTGCATTGCCTTGGGACTGGCATATTTGTGTATGTGTTTCCAAGGAGCAAACAGAATTCATATGAAACCTTGCCTGTTGGGTTTCTTCTCTTCCTAAGTCTGTGATTCTAGGGGAATTGCACAGTTTGGTTTCATTGCCCAGCCATTGGCAAAGCTAGGACTGATGCACTGCAGTGCAGCAGCAAAGGTGCTAACTTGGTACTCTGTTGTTTCTCCTCCAGGATTCCATGTTATCCCAACAATCTCTAATATAGTTCCAGAAAGCTGCTTGCTCATCGTGGTAGGACTGCTCGTTGGAGGACTTATCAAGGCTGTAGGAGAGGACCCCCCGATCCTACAGTCGAACATCTTCTTCCTTTTTCTTCTCCCACCCATAATCCTGGATGCTGGCTACTTCCTGCCCTTGCGCCAGTTTACCGAGAACTTGGGCACCATCCTGATGTTTGCAGTGCTGGGGACGTTGTGGAATGCCTTCTTTGTGGGTTCGCTGTTGTATGCTGTGTGCCAGATCGATGTGACTGGTTTAAGCCACATCGGCCTCTTGGCCAACCTACTTTTCGGGAGCATCATCTCAGCTGTGGACCCTGTGGCAGTGCTGGCTGTGTTTGAAGAGATCCACATCAATGAGCTCTTGCACATCTTGGTGTTTGGAGAGTCGTTGCTGAATGATGCTGTCACTGTGGTAAGTGGGAACAACAGCTGAAAACAGCCCTGCCCCAAGGCAAAGAGAGGCAGCCGCCTCAAGATTCCATTTAAAGAAGATAAGCATGAGGGGGCGGGCACCTTTGGAATGATTAGGAGCTATAACTGAGCATGAGAGTATACAGGGCCGGCCCCAGCTTGTTTTGCACCCTAGGCGAGGATCCCTTCTGGCACCCCCCCCCCATGCGCCCACCATGGCTCGGACCCGTTAATTGGATCTGTACCCCAGACCTCCCGTTCCCCTGGCACCCATGCTCTTAACACTCACTTTTGCTTTTGTAACTTTGCCTGCTTTGCACATCTGGCTTCCACCAAGGAAGACTCTGCAAAGAAAGGCACTCGTCGCAAACAATCTCTGCTTCTCACTTGCCTTGACAGTTCCTTGCTGGGGTTGCCATAAGTCAGTTGCAACTTGAGTGTCCTTATGTAATAGCCCCCCTACTTAGATTCTTCTTTGACTCAGCTGAGTGACCCTTCTGTGCCCAGAGGGCTACGTTCTTTGGTGGAATTGGTGTTTGTATCATCAGAAAGATCATAACATGTTTAAAACTCAGTAGTGTTTGCAGCTGAACCAGGACAGCTGGGGGGGGGGTGCCAGTTTGGTGCCCCTAAGGGCCGGCGCGCTCTAGGCGAGTGCCTAGTTCACCTAGTGAGTGAGCCGGCCCTGAGAGTATATACCTAAGACTTGCTGGGTGAGACCAAGGGTCCATGCAGTCGAGCTTTCTGCCTCTAGCAGTGGACAGTCGTATGCCACATCAGCCACTGAATCTTGTGGCCAGGCGTTTGGTCCCAGCATGCAGCAATGTAAGGTATACTACTTCTAGTCTTGGAGGCTCCTTTTAGTCTAGTTTGCCTTACAAGGGTAAGCCAGAGCAAGTAGAACCCATGGACTAGGAATAAAGAGGGGGAGGGCTAGTAGAGGCCTGAGCATCAGATGCAGTTGGGGATGCTCCTTGAATAAGACAAAGGGAGCTGGGGAATAGCGTGGTTGTTTGGGGCTTGAATCCTTGCTGGCCAATGAGGATTTTGCTGACAACACATAGTGGAAGTGTTGTCCAGCCGTCCAGCCAGAAGCGAGAGGCAGTTGTGCCTGCACCATAGCGGTTGCATAGCTCTGAGACAGGGTCAGTTTCCTGCTGCTTTCAATTCCATTTTGTCCCCAGAGGGTTGGTGCTTTGTGGGGAGGTCACTGATGAATGTCCAGTCCTTCACATCTTCTCTTACCTCCCCCACCTCGCACTATTGGAAGAATGGAGAGGAACCAAACAAAAAACGAAGTCTGTGAAATAATATACCTGCAAGAACACATCCAAATAGTTTTGTATTAAATTAAGATGGGATCACTCGCAGGGCTCTTTTTGTAGAAAAAGCCCAGCAGGAACTCATTAGCATAATAGGCCACACCCAACAGCAGGAACTCATTAGCATATTGGGCCACACCCCTGACAGCACAGCTCATTAGCACATTAGGCTGCACCCACGTTACCAGAAGTGTGGTCATCCAGCCACACCCACCTTTTGCTTGTTATTCTGTTTAACTTGTTTGTTGTCAAAACCCAGGGCCTTTTTTTGTAGCAGGAACTCCTTTGCACGTTAGGCCACACACCCCTAATGTAGCCAATCCTAATGAGTTTCTGCTGTTGGGTGTGGCCTGTTATGCTAATGAGTTCTTGCTGGGCGTGGCCAACTCGGGAGCCAGCCGGAACTCCGTTCCTGTGCGTTCCTGCCCAAAAAGAGCCCTGGATCACTAACTTCAGCTAGGTTACATGCCTGCAATCGCTGAGGCAGGCTACAGTCTTTGCCTCACCCAAGACGGGGAGGATAAAGCAGAATCTTTTTCCACGTGCTTTGATTTGCAGCCAGGGATGTTAAAGGGCATTAAGGGGTGACTAATCCACGCCAACTTTATTGTTACAGTGTACTGCAAAAGGTGCATTCAAGTGGGTAGCTATGTTTGTCTGAAACAGCAGAAAAACAGAAAAGAAATTTGCCCCCCCCCCCCAATGGCTTCAAAATTTCTGGAAATCTTACATCTCTAGGCCAAACATAATCGTCTCCCTCAGTAGGTTAGCTGTTCAAGGGGAAGGATTGTTTCCCAGCCCCACTCCCAACAGGCCAGTTAATTGATGCTTTTCCCACCCTTGAGTGTCATGATTTTTTGGGGGAGGGGGGAAATGAAAGTATGTTTGCACGTGCACAAGGGAGATTCTGCCCCACTCCCTTTCATGGCCACTTACAATACTAACAGAGAAAACACACAGGACAAATACTAACAGAGAAAACACACAAGACACACCTGGATGAAAAATTGGTGGTAGAATTTCATTGTGTGGTCTGCATCTAGGGGTAACCGTGTTTTTGTATTTAGCTGTGCATGTAGGAATTGCGTTGTAACCTGCAGTTGATGTGCTGATGTAGGTAGCAGAAGGATTAATGCCCTGCGTGCATTTAACAATGATAAAGATGCTTGAATTATAACAGTGCTTCGCAGTTATATAGCTCTTCTGAGCATTCAGAGAGCAAGTGTAGCATAGTGGTTAGAGTGCTAGACTAGGATCTGGGAGACCTGAGGTTAAAATCCTCACTCGGCCATGGCAGCTTGCTGGGTGACCTTGGGCCAGTCACACACACTCTGTCTCACAGGGCTGTTGTGAAGATAAAATGGAGGAGGGAAGAATTATATCAGTTGCTTTGGGTCCCCAGAAGGGAGAAAGATGGGGTGGAAATGAAGCAAACAAGTAAATTCAAAGCTCTTCAAGTATGTTCTACTAGCAGTTCTTACAGAGACTTTGTAAAGTAAATTAGCATAATGTGTTGTCGAAGGCTTTCACAGCAGGAGTTCATTCGCTGTTGTAGATTTTCCGGGTTGTATGGCCGTGGTCTTGGCATTGTAGGACCTGACGTTTTGCCAGTAGCTGTGACTGGCATCCTCTTAGCATACTTATCTCGATGTTCCGGACAGGGGGCTGCAATTCAGAGAGGGTGGGTTGCCTAAGGCCAGTGAGCGAGTCTGTGGTAGAAGCTAGATTTGACCCAAAAACTTTAATGATGAATGCATGAAGTAATAGCAGTACTGGAAAATGTAGCCAGATAATGGTGTGTGCCCCCCCCCCCCCCGGGGTTGCACTGGTGCACTCTGAGTGCTTTGCTGGCCACAGTTGCTTTGGGCGAGAGAAGCTTTTCAGAGCTGAAAATGATAACTGTCTGTCTTCTTCAGTGCCCCAAAAGAGACCAGTAGGTGTTTGCCACACTTTTCAATTGATGACTTTGCTTAATGACAATTAAAGCAATTGGTGAGACATAAGTCTTACCAATTGTCTTAATCCAATCTTCGTTAGATTTACTGCTCTGTTACTTATGCACCTTGGCTCTAATTAGCCCTTCCTCCTGAAAACGCCCTCCCCACCTATACGTAATGGTTGGTGACTTCCCTTTCAATGTATCTGAAGAAGTGTGCATGGACAGGAAAGCTTATACCTAGACTAAAACTTTGTTGGTCTTAAAGTTGCCACTGGACTCAAACTTTGTTCTTCTGCTTCAGACCAACATTGCTACCCACCAGAATAGATTTTTCCTGTCCTTCTAACGGGCTTTGCCACAAAATGCATTTCCCCCCCTGCATATCGGCTGTCTTGTTTGCATTGTGATCCTTTGACAAGTTAGTTTGGCCTAAATCAATCGAAATCTGGGTTTAGGCTGGAGCAGCCTAGCCTGGGATAGCACTGTTAGCCTTAGGTTGCCATGTACTCTGTGTCGTCACTTGACTATACATCAGGCTTTCTGTTTTGCTTAGTAAGATGTGAGTCAACTGTGAACATGTTACAAATTTTAACAAGTCAGGTCCAGGGCTCATTTCCTCCACATTCATACAGGAGCTGTGGAGAAAGTAATTTTTAAAGTGCACTTGGGATGATGGAGCAGGGAGGGGAGGACGTTTTGCACTTCAGAACTTCCGTTCCCTGTAGCCGCTCTCTGTTTGCAGGCAAAGTGAATCCCTAGACCGGAATCACTAAAATTCATAGCATGTAGTTTGGCCTGATTGCTTTCTTTTCTAGGCATGCAAATCTCCGTGCTGCTCCCCTATCTTATATGTGCCAAAATCAAGATGGTGACCCTTTTAAAAAAAAGATAGAGCAGCAGGAGTAATGTTTTCCCAGTTTATTTGTGCGGTTGATGTTTCTTTAGTTGACTTCTTTGTTTCTGCCGTTGCCTTGATGAAGCAGATATTCCAGGGCAGTAGTGACGTCAGAGGCTTGCCCTTCAACAGAGTGAATGCTGTGGATTTTTTAAAGCTGCCTCTTGATCATTTCCCTCCCTCTCTTTTTCATGTTGCTGATTTGCCTCCACTTTCATGTCAGTGCACCTGTTGTTGGCATTCCCTGATCATTGCTTCCCTGGGGCAGATATCCCATCTTCCTCTTCTCTTTCCCCCCAGGTCCTCCACCACCTTTTTGATGAGTACGCCACCTTTGACAGAATCACTTTCACGGACATCATCCTGGGCTTCCTCAGCTTCTTCGTGGTATCCCTGGGGGGTGTCTTTGTCGGGGTGATCTATGGCATCATCGCTGCCTTCACCTCCCGCTTCACTTCTCACATCCGTGTCATTGAGCCTCTCTTCGTCTTTCTCTACAGCTACATGGCATACCTGTCAGCAGAACTCTTTCACCTTTCGGGCATCATGGCGTAAGTATTGGCAAGGCGGGCCTTTGAAGCCACACTCCAGTGGGGAATCTGCCAGCTCAGGCTTCTGAAAGGGTGCACCTCTTCTTCTTCTTTTCAGTTCCACTTTTTAGAGAAAAACTGATTCCCAAAGCAGTCATATTTCAATAATAATAATAATAATAATAATAATAATAATAATAATAATAATAATAATAATAATAATAATAATAATAAAAACGTCTTCTGGCTTGGCTCAGTCATTTTCCGAACGGCTGCTTGTCGACCAGGCTTCAGGACCCATATGTCAAATCGCCACACTGCCACCGCCTGGCCGGAAACATCCACTGCAGGGATTTTTTTAGCCGAGACGTTCTTCCGCCTTTTCCGAACCTCGACCAGGACGTCCCGACCATCAGCTAACACCCTCCCACAAGGGAGATTGGTGTGCCCACCCTCTCTAAGGAGTGGTTCCCATTTTATCTACTCGCCGAACTTTCCCCATATGTTCCCCCGAGGGAAATCCGGGACACAAAATTGCTTGGTCCCCCCTGGCCCTAGGGATGCTAAGTTAACAGCAACAAGAACCAGGGCGTTCTCCCTAGCTGCACCGACGCTATGGAACCAGCTCCCAAATGAAATTTGAGCTCTGTGGGATCTTCAACAATTCCGTAGAGCAGTGAAGACCGAGCTGTTCCGACAAGCGTTCTAACAGCCCTGGCCACACTGACCATCCCACATAAGCACTAGCACTTTATAACAGATGGCCGCCACATTCTAATTTTAATAAGTTGTATTTATTGTATTGCTTTGTATTGTTTTAGATGTGACAATCGGTATTAATTGTATACTGGTTTTAACCATTGTAAGCCGCCCTGAGCCGCCTTGGCGGGAGGGAGGGGTAAAAGTCTAACAAATAAATAAATAAATAACTAGAAGGTGCTCTACATAAATGAACATAAAAGACAGGCTAGGATCTGCCATGGAAACTTGCTGGGTGACCTTGGGCCAGTCACACACATTCAGCCTAACCTGCCTCATAGGGTTGTTGTGAGAATAAAATGGAGGAGCGGAGATTGTTGTAAGTAGGGTTGCCAAATCGGCTCACCCCTCGGAGCGGGGGAGCCGTGCCGGTGTCCGAGAGTTTGTGCCGATGCGCGTGCGCCGGCAGCACGTCACCTGAAGTGACGTGGGATGTTGCTGACGTTGGGGGCGTGGCCGGGCTCCGCGGGGGGAAAAACCATATGGTTTCCCCCCCCCCGACGAGCTCAGCCACGCCCCCAATGTCAGCAACGTGGCTGCGTCACCCGCAGCTTCGGGGGCAGGGTTCCCCCGGGCCCTGATTCTGCCGGGGCGGAAATCGGGGCCTCCGAAGCGGGGGATTCCCCGCCCCTGGGCCCATTTGGCAACCCTAGTTGTAAGCCACTTTGGGGTCCCTGTTGGGGAGAATGGCATGGTATAAAATAAGGGGGGGGGGAAATGAATAGAGCATGTTGTAAACATCCCTGAACATCCCTGACAAGCTCAGTCTTGTTAGAACTTGGAAGCTAAGCAGGGTTGGCTCTAGTTAGTACCCGGAGGGGAGGCCCCAAGAAAGTTCAGGGTCTCTATGCAGAGGAAGGTGATGGCAAATCACCTCTGCTCATGTCTGGCATAGAAAACCTCATGAGTCACTTGCAACTTGACAGTGTACAATTAATCAATTAAAGCAAGGCTTGCTTTAGCCCTGACAATGGATGAGGGCAAAAAGAGTCATTGACGGGATTTTCTAGAGTCCCTCATTTTTAAAATGGGTTGCTACTGAGACACGGAACTGCTTTGTACAATTAGCAGCCCAGCTGAAACAAGGCAATGTGTGACTTCAGCTTTCTGTGACTTCTGCGTGAGCTGGCATCACGTTTAAATGGGGCCTTAAAAGAGCAGAGATGTCAAGGAAGAAGAGGGGAGAGACAATTTAGGCTAGTCCGCCAGGGGTCTTTTTGTAGAAAAAGAGCTGCAGGAGCTCATTAGCATAACTCATTAGCATATGCCACACCCCCTGATATCACCGGAAGTGTGTCATAAGGCCACACCCCCTGACATCACCGGAAGTGTGTCAGAAGGCCACACCCCCTGACATAAGCCTTCTGGGGGGGGGTCCCCATTTGGAAGAAAAGCAGGGTTATCAATGTGCACAGATAGACAGAGAGACAGAGGAAGAGACAAGGACTGTTCTTTGCAGTAAAAGCCAGAAGCCTCATTTAAATAAAATCTAGCTCTGAGCCTTTGGCCTAAGACAACTGCAGATCTGCTTTCCCGATATCAATGTCAGTAGCAACAAATCAAATATTTGGTACCCAGATATGTAGAAGCTATGAAATAGCTGACTGATATTGCCTCTTTATTTCTGGCACCACAGTCAAAGGATAGATATGTCTGTGTAACAGTTTAAGTAGGGTCAACTTTTGTGCAGCATTTCTATTTATTTATTTATTTATTTATCAAATTTATACCCCGCCCTCCCCCGTAGGCTAGATGTTACAACAGAAAGATTAGAAGAGCACAGCAGATCTGATAGTTCCGAATAGATTACTGGGCAGACCACAGGAGAATTTAAAATCTGGAATACCCAGGTTCAAATCCCCACTCAGGCCATAGAAGCTTGCTGGGTGACCTTGGGCCTCTTACACTCTCTCAGCCTAACCTATCTCACAGGATTTCTGTGAGAATAAAATGGGGGAAGTAGAATGATGTAAGCTA